CTATAATAACTAGATAGGAAAGTCATGTGTTGGACACATCAGATTTTTTTTTTTTTAAAGATACGTATTATTGTTGTTTATTTATAAAATACATTTTATTTATCATCATAATATTTATAGGCCTATTATTATTCTGCGCAACTTCTCAAAAATATTTGAGATTATGTTGCATGATCATCTCTCTTTCAAGCTCCGTAATGTTATTATACCTGAACAACATGGAGTTATCAGAGGACGTTCTACTATAACAAATCTCTTCTGTTTTAAACAGTTCTTGTGTGAGGCAATTGACAAAAAGAATCAGGTAGACGTAATCTATACTGATTTTTCCAAAGCCTTTGATAGGTTGGATCATGGCATACTACTAACAAAACTTCACCAGGTCGGAATGTCTGAACAGCTAATAACTGTCATAAAATCCTATATATCTGGACGCACCCAATTTGTTCAATGTCTGGGTCTCAAATCACGTGTATTTTATCAAACTTCTGGAGTTCATCAAGGCTCTATTCTGGGTCCTCTTCTCTTTAACATTTTTGTTAACGATATCGTAACTAATATTGATGTAAAATATTTACTATATGCTGATGATTTAAAACTATTCCACACCATTAATAACTTGAATGATTGCCACTCTCTACAATGTAATATTAACCTATTAAATGATTGGTGCGCTGCCAACAAATTGCCTCTAAATGCCAATAAATGCAACATAATGACTTTCTCTAGAAAAGAGTCAATCATGCAATTTAATTATATACTTCAGGATATTACGCTCAAGGCCTGAGTTGATAAAAGATCTTGGTATCTACTACGATCCCAAGCTAACATTCGGTGCTCATATTGATAAGACGGTATCGTGTTCTTTTCGGATCTTAGGGTTTCTAACTAGGAATATGAAAGATTTTAGAGAGTTCCATACAATGAATTTACTATTCTCAGCTCTTGTTCGATCTAAACTTGAATACGGATGCATTATTTGGAACCCAATTTATAAAAATCTGATAACTCACCTAGAAAGAGTTCAGCGGAGATTTTTTAAATCTGCCACTTTTATTTTAGATAATATATTTCCCGCTAAGGGCACTCCACAAGAATATTTTTATGACCGATTCGAATCCTGCAGCTTTGTAAAAAGCAGGATAATGCTCTCCGTCACATTTTTACACAAAGTTATTAATGGGTCTGTTGACTGTATGGCGTTACTCAATATGATCAACTTCCACGTTCCTAGGCTTAACTTCAGAAACTTACATATATTTCACATTTCGCCTCATAGGACAAATATATATAAATCGTCACCTCTTAATCAAGCTGTGTCAAATTATTGTCTCTTAAAACCGAATCTGGACATATTTCACAGTTATAGCGATTCAGTTAAACTTTTATGCTCATTTCATACCTTTTGTCTCTTTTTTTGCTGTTATTGTGAGTCTTTATCTCCGAATTATTTGTATGGTTTAAAAGTTTGTCTACTACAAATGCACCTTCTGTTTTTTTGTTCTTCGTTTTTTATCATTTGTGTGTTTGAGAAGACATTCTTTTAACGAACTAATTGTTATTTGTTATTGTAAAATATATTTTCTGTTTGTTAATCCTTGTCCTGTAATTGGGGTTAGCCCCGTTGACATTGTATAATAAATAAATAAATAAATAAATAAATAAATAAATAAATAAATAAATAAATAAATAAATAAATAAATAAATAAATAAATAAATAAATAAATAAATAAATAAATAAATAAATAAATAAATAAATAAATAAATAAATAAATAAATAAATAAATAAATAAATAAATAAATAAATAAATAAATAAATAAATAAATAAATAAATAAATAAATAAATAAATAAATAAATAAATAAATAAATAAATAAATAAATAAATAAATAAATAAATAAATAAATAAATAAATAAATAAATAAATAAATAAATAAATAAATAAATAAATAAATAAATAAATAAATAAATAAATAAATAAATAAATAAATAAATAAATAAATAAATAAATAAATAAATAAATAAATAAATAAATAAATAAATAAATAAATAAATAAATAAATAAATAAATAAATAAATAAATAAATAAATAAATAAATAAATAAATAAATAAATAAATAAATAAATAAATAAATAAATAAATAAATAAATAAATAAATAAATAAATAAATAAATAAATAAATAAATAAATAAATAAATAAATAAATAAATAAATAAATAAATAAATAAATAAATAAATAAATAAATAAATAAATAAATAAATAAATAAATAAATAAATAAATAAATAAATAAATAAATAAATAAATAAATAAATAAATAAATAAATAAATAAATAAATAAATAAATAAATAAATAAATAAATAAATAAATAAATAAATAAATAAATAAATAAATAAATAAATAAATAAATAAATAAATAAATAAATAAATAAATAAATAAATAAATAAATAAATAAATAAATAAATAAATAAATAAATAAATAAATAAATAAATAAATAAATAAATAAATAAATAAATAAATAAATAAATAAATAAATAAATAAATAAATAAATAAATAAATAAATAAATAAATAAATAAATAAATAAATAAATAAATAAATAAATAAATAAATAAATAAATAAATAAATAAATAAATAAATAAATAAATAAATAAATAAATAAATAAATAAATAAATAAATAAATAAATAAATAAATAAATAAATAAATAAATAAATAAATAAATAAATAAATAAATAAATAAATAAATAAATAAATAAATAAATAAATAAATAAATAAATAAATAAATAAATAAATAAATAAATAAATAAATAAATAAATAAATAAATAAATAAATAAATAAATAAATAAATAAATAAATAAATAAATAAATAAATAAATAAATAAATAAATAAATAAATAAATAAATAAATAAATAAATAAATAAATAAATAAATAAATAAATAAATAAATAAATAAATAAATAAATAAATAAATAAATAAATAAATAAATAAATAAATAAATAAATAAATAAATAAATAAATAAATAAATAAATAAATAAATAAATAAATAAATAAATAAATAAATAAATAAATAAATAAATAAATAAATAAATAAATAAATAAATAAATAAATAAATAAATAAATAAATAAATAAATAAATAAATAAATAAATAAATAAATAAATAAATAAATAAATAAATAAATAAATAAATAAATAAATAAATAAATAAATAAATAAATAAATAAATAAATAAATAAATAAATAAATAAATAAATAAATAAATAAATAAATAAATAAATAAATAAATAAATAAATAAATAAATAAATAAATAAATAAATAAATAAATAAATAAATAAATAAATAAATAAATAAATAAATAAATAAATAAATAAATAAATAAATAAATAAATAAATAAATAAATAAATAAATAAATAAATAAATAAATAAATAAATAAATAAATAAATAAATAAATAAATAAATAAATAAATAAATAAATAAATAAATAAATAAATAAATAAATAAATAAATAAATAAATAAATAAATAAATAAATAAATAAATAAATAAATAAATAAATAAATAAATAAATAAATAAATAAATAAATAAATAAATAAATAAATAAATAAATAAATAAATAAATAAATAAATAAATAAATAAATAAATAAATAAATAAATAAATAAATAAATAAATAAATAAATAAATAAATAAATAAATAAATAAATAAATAAATAAATAAATAAATAAATAAATAAATAAATAAATAAATAAATAAATAAATAAATAAATAAATAAATAAATAAATAAATAAATAAATAAATAAATAAATAAATAAATAAATAAATAAATAAATAAATAAATAAATAAATAAATAAATAAATAAATAAATAAATAAATAAATAAATAAATAAATAAATAAATAAATAAATAAATAAATAAATAAATAAATAAATAAATAAATAAATAAATAAATAAATAAATAAATAAATAAATAAATAAATAAATAAATAAATAAATAAATAAATAAATAAATAAATAAATAAATAAATAAATAAATAAATAAATAAATAAATAAATAAATAAATAAATAAATAAATAAATAAATAAATAAATAAATAAATAAATAAATAAATAAATAAATAAATAAATAAATAAATAAATAAATAAATAAATAAATAAATAAATAAATAAATAAATAAATAAATAAATAAATAAATAAATAAATAAATAAATAAATAAATAAATAAATAAATAAATAAATAAATAAATAAATAAATAAATAAATAAATAAATAAATAAATAAATAAATAAATAAATAAATAAATAAATAAATAAATAAATAAATAAATAAATAAATAAATAAATAAATAAATAAATAAATAAATAAATAAATAAATAAATAAATAAATAAATAAATAAATAAATAAATAAATAAATAAATAAATAAATAAATAAATAAATAAATAAATAAATAAATAAATAAATAAATAAATAAATAAATAAATAAATAAATAAATAAATAAATAAATAAATAAATAAATAAATAAATAAATAAATAAATAAATAAATAAATAAATAAATAAATAAATAAATAAATAAATAAATAAATAAATAAATAAATAAATAAATAAATAAATAAATAAATAAATAAATAAATAAATAAATAAATAAATAAATAAATAAATAAATAAATAAATAAATAAATAAATAAATAAATAAATAATGTAATTATTATGCCTGTAGATTTGATAGGGTTAATAAACATTGGCTTCTGCCTTGAAATAAAAATGTAGATATTTATTTTTTTTTACTACATTCAAAAGCTGCACTTTTGACAGGTCGTTGCACTGTCCAATCAGCAATTAGCTATTAACCCAAAAGTTTTTATAAGAGATTGTTATTTCCGATAAAAGGAAGTTACGCTGATGACATTGACAGCGTTGACAAATTTATATTCTCGTTGAATATTGGAAAAATTCACTGTTCTAATTGGTTTTATTTGTTTTACAGACGGAGGATGAAGGTAACCACGGCAATGACGATACCCGCTGCTTCATTCTATCCACTTTGGCATCTCAAGGTCGCTCAAAAGTCCACTGCGTCCTTTGCGAAGAGCAGTTGCTAGTTTTCGACAGATATCCACTCGTAGATGGAACATTCTTCTTGAGTCCACGACAACACGCCAAAAGCTGTATTGAGGTAAACACTAATTTCATTAATATCTAAATTATTCTTTTTAACTAGCAATATATCAAACGAATATATTATAAAACTATTTCTGTGCCATCTATTGGTAAAAACTGTTATTTTGTTATACCAGAATAAATCATCTTAATAACTTAAATCGAGTACGTTATGACCTTTGACAGCTGTCACTGTTCTGTGGGAACAAAGGGCTGCGTTTTAAATTCTTAATGTAAATCAGATTTCATTTGTATTATTCCGTAGATATTAATCATGTTTGATTGAAAGGAATTTTTATTCTGCGTTTCAGGTGAAAGTAGAAGGACGTACCCAATTTCTCACTGTCGTCTGCATGGGTTGTCTAGAGGGCGTGAATGGTCGCGCCATTGTATGCAGATTCTGTAACCAGAAATGGGACGGATCATCCCTGGTTCTCGGTACCATGTATTCTTATGATATCTTCGCCGCCATGCCATGTTGCACTGAGAGGATAAAGGTGAGTTAATTTTTTTTTTTAGAAAACTAATTTTGGTTTATAAGCAAGTAGGTACTCAATATTTGTATATACAATCTTCTTCAATATTATGTTTACATGTTCATGTAGGTATAGTATGGCCTATTTATATGGAATAAATTAATTTTAAACGTTAATATTAATTTTAAAAATGTAAAATTTTGTTAATGTCTTGTAAATCCAATTTATTTTTGCTAAATTATTGGTTTACGTCACCACAGTCCACAGATATCATCTGGGCCTTGAACTTCAATGATCACACATTCATATCTTTCACTTAATGCATCCCTTCCGATCTTTCTTAGATCACCAGTTATTTTTATTGTGAGTTTAAGTATTTTTCGCATCCTTCAACTTTCTAATACCACAATTTAACTCTACAATGGAGTAACGTTTTCTACAATATAGATACATGTTACTTATTACATACAAATTTATTTAATCGCCTGAAGATATCAATGTGAGGCCGAAACTAGTCGCACCTGTATTTAATATTATAATAAAAATTTGATTTGATATTGATTTTCAGCTTCTATTCTTTAACTACATTATTGTATTTTATTTTTCAGTGCAACTCCTGCTACAAACCAGTCCTGCATCCGACACAGCGGCTGAACTTCTTCAGCGACTACAGCCACATGGTTCCATGTCCGCATTGCCGGACCCTCGACACTCACTTCGTGAAACCTCTCGGTTTCTGCTACGCCCGTCAGCTGTCGAGGGCTCTACAGATGATGTGGCCATAGCACGTGGCCCCCCGGGTCGTCACCAAGGACCCACCGACGCCGCCTACGCCACCAGATCCGAATCCTATGGACCTCGATCTGGGACTGCTGTGGCGCGAATTGGCGGGCCTGCGACTCGATGTCGGTAGACTAACCTTTAGTTTTCTTTGTTATGTTGTTGCATTTTTATTGTTCACGGATAGGTTTACGATGTCATTGGTACAGCGTCGGTATTTTGGAAACGAAATTGTATGAGGTGGATGTTAATTTTTACATCTAATTTCTGTATAGGTGTATTTTATATTGTTAACATTTATCACCATTAATAAAAAATATATTTTATTTGTGAAGTGACGTTTGAATGATGAAAAATTAAAAAAAGAGCAATAGTTGAATTTGGAGAATTCGCAATGTGTCCAATATAAGAAGAGAGCATGGGGATCTCGTATAGTTAAATATATAGATTAGGTTAAATCGGAATTGTATGAAATATGTATGAAATAATTAGAACCATTTTAGTTATTTATTGCCTATAACGTTTTATCTATCGACCTCTAAGACTGTTTTTAGAGTTTCCTTCTATTTCTTCTTGGATTCCTTTTGTATTTTCAGGCCGTCTGTAAATGATTCCTTGTCCTGCTATACCCATTCTTTCTAGGCCTATCTGTATTTTGCCAATGTTTTGATCTCATCTATTGTCTTTCCTTTATCCTTTTAAATTTCGTTAATTTGGTTTATCCATTTATCCTTTTATCTTTTTATTCCATTAAACCTAATCTGTATATTCAACCTTGCTCTACATTCGTATATGTGACACATTGTACAGGTACAAAAATTAAAGTAATGATGTTGAATGGCATCGTGAATTTATACTTGGACTTTTTTTATCGCATTTATTTTTGGGTGGGTTGGCATTTTAGGCGACTAAAATGCGTGTGGACCCTTTCCTTAGATATCTGTACTATATAAAACCGTTATGTTATTAGTTTATTGTATATGTTTGTTAGTTTTTAGTGAATTTATATTCAGAACATGAGTCTTTTATATAAAGAAAAATTGAAGATTGTGATTATAACGTTATCTTTTTTAAGTTTAACTCGAATTTTTGGACGCAAAAGTAGGTCTACGTCAGGATTTTAGAGACGCTGACGATAAATCTATAAGAAAGCAATCCCTCTTTTGTGTTTTTAGGTACATTTTTAATGTTAGACTTTGCACCTGTGTTGGTTTTTTACGGATCTTACTTAATTATTGTAAGTAAACAGTATATTAATAAAAAATAACATAAATTGCTGTGTCCCAATAATTAGTGATAGGTGTGAGAGGCGCCCAAAGAGGAGGCGTGTATGACTGGAGTGTGAAAGTTTCCTGTTAATCGTTAATGTCAATGTCATTGTGATGGGTTCGAGGGCATGGACGCGTGACGGCATCATGGACCTTAACACAAAATTTAGTTCTACACACATTGTTGCGCCCTTATCGCATCAACTTCCAACAAACAATAATTTAATCCAACCATTGAACTATAGCAGCAATCGGATAAAACTGAGCTGACTAACAGATTCATCCAAATCATCCTATTTTAAACTTTAGGATTATAATCATTCTACACGTTAATATATTCATTTGAAATCATCTAAAATCTCTTGTTACACTTTAAATACAAGGCCTTACAAATCTATTAACTGGAATAACTGTAAGGTGTTTTAACTTTAAAAAAATGGCTAAAATTGTTTAGAATATGAGTAAAAATCTGCTAGAATCGCTAATGCATTTACGGCAAATAATGGCAGTTCATTTATAACCTGTCAGAAATGTAATCGTGTAAAACACAGTTTATTTTATCTTTTGTCAAGTAAAAAATACAACTGGAGTCTTAAATTTCAACTTATATATTATTAATATTATTCATGCTTGAAAATACATCACCGAGTGGAAAACTTGAGAGCTTTGTTATTGCCTAATTTAAATTAGCTATAATATAATAATATTTCTTTTTAATAAATGATTATCAATTTATTTGTATTTAGTTTGATGTTTTTTGAATTATTATCTAAGGTTAACATTGACTATGATTATCAACTATTAACTTAGATATAGGCAACACATTATACACTCATTATGACAAATTTTCAGTTTTATATCTATTTCTTAAAATAATGTTATCGTAAAAAAATCTAGTGTGCATTTTGAGCGAAAAGTTCGTTGCCGCTTTTGACAGATTGCAACTTTCTATCTCAAGCGGCAAAGTAGCACTCTTCGCTCTTAATATACAAATGGCTATTATCCTAAACATATACAGACATCATTGTTTATTAGGTTTTATAAGGACTCACTTGGAATATTAGAAACTAAAGCCACTTAATTTGTTGACTACTCCATTTTTATTTTTGTTTACAATGGTTATTAATTTTATTTTTCACTTGATACGAATAAAACCAAAATAAACTGATTTTCATGATTTTACTCCTGAATTGTAAATGGCTCGTATAAAAACGTTATAAATGGAAAATAAATTATAATTGTCAATCCCAGAAAGGCTACAGCCAATACTACTATCATAATTATCATTATCTCATTACTTTCTCTGTCATGAGCATCTTAATCTCAATTACTTATTATCGAGACCAACAGTGTTTTACCACCTTTGTCCAGCAACGTGCAACTCTACTGCTTTTCTAAGAAACTACCCTTATAATCTTTGGCTAAACTATAAACGTCAATTTGACAGTTCATAAGCTGGGAAAGAATTTCCGAAAATCAGATAAAATCTTCGCCGTCGGTAACATAGCAATGCTAGCGGATTTTACTTGGAACCTTAATCAATTTTAGCGACGTTTTCTTCTATTTTTAAATGTGAGTTAGTTTACTTTATTCTACCGTATAATAGGCGTAATATTTTTCAGGTTATGTCAAATATATATTCTTCTTTTATATTATAGTCTATTATGTTGGTATCAAGGAAAACTAATTTGTACACGTAATGTTTGTTGGAAGCGAAATTTTTGCCCGTATATGGCGCAATTTTTACTTAATTATCGAGCCAAAGAATTATTAAAAATATATTTAGACATTTTAAGTAGTCGATTATTCCAGTTTAAATTATTTGATTGCAAAATTCTAGTCGCTTCAAGTAAACTTTTGATTTGGCGTGACAAATCATCCGCGTTTGCGTTAACATGACCTTTATTTATTCAAACGATTTTCGTATGTGTACGGAGGATGTTGTTCGATTGGTCCACGTCTTCGTCACGTGACTTACGGTTCAGGGACGGTCGGTCTCCCTGCAGAGAATAGCACACTGCCACATCATCATTGCACACGTTGTTATCTTAAATTCAGTCACACTCCAAATCAAGGTAACAATTTGGAAGATTTATATTTTTTTATACTTTTAATTCTAATATGGCACTTTTTAGTGTTTAGTTAAATTTTTATATTAAGTTTTTAGATGTTTATTTTAGTATTTTTTTAGCCGTCTTTCATCTCTATAGGCAACTTCTCTATATATGTTCTTTGTGTTAGTTTTAAAGGTATAATAATTAATTTTATATTGGCCATTTGTTTATTAAAAACAAGCAAGCAAAAATAATTACCCATTCAATTAAGTTCTCTTCGGCATGCCTCTAATGGCGGTTACGTACACGGCACTTATTCCGTATGGAGTAGTTTTCAATGCTAAGCCATCAATTTGCCATTGTTTAAAATAGTGAGCCATTTATTTGCTTCCAGTTCCGTTTCTGACTCTCCTAGTTTAATTACTCCAAACTTAATCTTTTCTAAATCTCCATTTGCAGTCAATACAGTTTTTGCAGCTACATTCATGTTTATGTGATGTACCAACTATTACCGTTTGTTAAATCCCACGTGGTAGCCCCCAACTTTCTTCTTTTGGTATCTTAATCAGTATCATAGTACATAGTCTACCTTTTTGGGTATCCTGGTTAAATTTTTATAGTTGCAGTAACCACGCGATTATGAATCCATTGAATTTATTTTCAAGTTTGTTTATTTTGCATTTACTTATTCTTTTCTTCTTGATTATCCCTAATAATTTTATATCTGCTTAGTGCTTCCAATCCTGAAGATACACCTATTTTCACACCATCTGAAATCACATGCTTTAAGCTATCTTTTACGATTTCATTGTATTGCTACTCATTAACATTAAAGTTAAACCGTCAATTTTGAGCGCACCTGTCAATTATTACCTTGACATAAAACCGATGACTGCATCTAAGATAGATTCGATGCACCCGTAGCCTTTTCAAGAAACGGACGTACAAAGTACTACTCAGCCGCTCAGTTATCCGCAAATACCTCAAAACTTTTTTAAGAAAATTGAAAGATTAAAGACTATAATGTGCCTATATTCTGTTGGTAACATTATAGTAGCTGCTAATAGCAGATAATATAGTTTTCGGAGAAAAATTAAAATGTAATGTGAAATGTTGCTGACAGATGTAGGTCCATTTAAAAATTTGTCTGGTGATCAGCAGTCTCGAATCAAGTATAGATTATATTAAAATGTTTCTTTTTATATAAAAACAGTTTTCTACAAATTTATTAGTGATGATAAATCTTTCCAAATCAATTTTCTAAACATTTATTTGATTCCTGATTTTGCTGATAGAGAGACAAAATTAAATCAAATATATAGACCCGAAATTGGTACCGTTGTACTAAAAATGGGTGCTACAGTTGTTTCACAAGATGAATGTTGTTTTCTGACGATGAATGTGGCGGACCTAGGTAATTGCTTCAAGTACAAACCGTTCGTTACTTTTGCAAATTTTATATAATAAAATATTAAACATATAATCTATTGTTGAGGGTAAAGTAATTCCTATCTCCGTTTTTTAGCCAAAGCTTTAATTTTGTGTTTTTTGGATCTAACTTGTCGACCGACTTGATATAATGTTGCGCGAGTGTGAGCGAGCTTCAGTAACGTATAGCCTAGCGTTATCCTTTAAGTATAATCCTTTAGTAGTAGTCTGTAGAGTGCCAGTTTCATTTCGATG